CCCTAGTAGCATCCTTGCTCCTAGTAGCGATGCCAGGAGCCCTAGTAACATCGTAGCGATGCCAGGAGCCCCTAGTAGCGTCCTTGCTCCTAGTAGCGAAACAAAGCAAGTCTTGGGACCCTCTGAGATTGAGTCGGATGTTCTTCTCACACCCACGGAGAAGCTTCCGCTGGCGCCTGTCCTCCGCCTGTCGGGCAGGCGCTGCAAGGATCGGTTGAAGCTGAAGGGCAGCTTGGACAGCCCGGGGCCTCAGTCGCTGTCAACAGCGGCGACTGCTTGAAACCAGAGCGACGAAGGAAGTTCCAAGAGTAAAGGACTACTAGTAGCAAAGGGCATCGCTACTGAGAGCAAGGACGCTACTCGGGGTTCCTGACCCTACTACTAGGAACAAGAAGCTACTAGGAACAAAGAAGAGGGAAAGAAATGGCGACAACAGTGTTCAGACGCAAATGGAAGATGTGCCCTGATGTATCGCTTGGTTTTTCACAGTCTTGCTGACGATGTGTTTTTCTTTGTAGAGGTGAAATGAATGGAACCGATCAAAGAACAATGTTCACTCCCCACACAACCCTCTGTCGATATTGCTGCAGCGTGGTGGGGGCAACTTTCTTCTTAAAAAGGAAAATGACTCAGTTGTGGATAGTGTACATTGGTGAGGACCCCCTACCCAAGTAGGTCAGTAGGTCTAAGTCTTTTTGGAGAAGGACTCCTTTCTTAGCAGATTTCTTGACCTTTGCAGCTCCTGCCAGGTCCTTTGCGGCCCGAAAAGTGTGCATCCGTCGGGCCCACCGGGGGAAGCCATCTGACACAGAGCTCGCATGGGCCCTGCGTACTCGTCGAAGTTGCGGACTCAAGCGGCCGTGCTGTGTGTATCATAGTCTGTTTATTTCAAAAGAGATGGAGGTCCCCAAGGTTGAGAAACAACACCTCAAATGACATCCTAAATCCACTCACTCTAAATACCAAGCAGGGCCTTTTGACCGCTCGGGGCCCAGATTTTCCTTCGACGATCGCAGGGCAGGCTCAATGAATGACACCACGCGTCACTCTGTGTCAAACGGTGCTGGCTGTTCACAGGTCCAAAGATCACAGATACGTGTTCAGCCGCGCCATCCCTTTTAATCCCATATTTTAACCCAGCTGGAGCGACCATTTCTGTGTTTCGGTCTTGGTAAGGCCATGAGACCGGGTGTGTTGTTGGCATGTTCGCCTTTCGCTTCCCATGTCGCCCCTTGTTGGTCCCCTTAGGCTCTGATGTGAGAGCACCACTCCTACATTAGTTGCATGACGCCGAAGAGCTGTTTGTGCAGGGGCCGAAGTCATGTGGCCAATGGGCACAACCGTGATGGCCACATGAAACCCCCAAAGTCGAGCTGCTCTACCGAAATTGGGTACCGAGAGCTTAGCCTTGTGGCCTTGTTCCGATGATGTATATTCGTGTGATTCTTTCAAGCCCAAAAGCTATAGCTTTGTGTGTTGTATCGAAAAGAGGCTTTGGATCCTCAAAGATCAAAGACCGGCGCTGTTTGAAGGCAAGGCTTTGCTGAAGTTGCCTATGTTGGAGATTGTTGGAGTTACGGCTTGTGCTTTTACCTGAGAGACCTCCAGTCTCGCGTTCCCTGAGCCTTTCCGAAGCCGACGGGCCAGGTTCTGTTCCGTGAAAAAGAATCATGCATGCAACTGACGGTTGCTTCTTGTAGAACTTGTTTGAGTAGAAACGAAGGCGCCAAAGTGTTTGACCAAAGTGTTGATATCTCGGTTCTTGTGGCTTTTTCTGGTGGATTTTGTCTTTCAGCCTCTTGCTACCACACTCCTTGGGGAAGAAGTCCATGATTCCCTGCTTGGATGACGTCGAACAAAGCCCACTCTGCGGGCTGCCTCAAAGTGAGAAGTCTCGCAGACCACCGGGCTCCGGCGGAATTCGAACACACGCCAATTTAAAGGGACAGGAGTAGCACAGTTCTCGGATAGCACAGATCAAGCCGTAGGGGATCGGACTGCAAACCCTTGTTTTTTCGATCGGACCAGGTCTTTTTCAACCAACAAAGGCACTTGATCTAAAACATTTTGTGGGGTGTGTTCTTTGGTTCGAGGCCATCGCTCTTCAGTTGGAGCCCATTTCTCCTCTTCTGAAAGACCCCAGATAAAACACCTCCGGACCCCCCGAGGCCTCCGGGCCCTCTCCACGGCTCCCATTTTCGCTTCCTTTTGGCATTTTCACCGACCTGAACACGAGGAGGGTGCCATCAGTGGACCAAGACCTTTGGTTTCGTTGGTTTTTGTTGAGACATGTTCACCAGTATTGTCCGTCTGAATAGCGGTGTCTTAGGTCCACTGATGCGGGTGTTGGCTATGGAGGTGATGCCCCTCTCCACGTGTGTCACAGAAGGTGTATATAGGTAGGTGATTTTCGCAAGGACCTTCCGCGGGCTTCAGACATACCGCGACCGAGTACCAGTTAAAAGCAGAGTCCTGCAGTGGGAGGGGAGGAGAGTGCTGAGCCTGGTCAGCGCCCAACAAGGTAAGATCGCTAGTGGCTTGTCTTATTTGTTTCCACACGGTTTGTTGAAAGGTCAGTTCAATCACTTCAATCATGCCTGTATTGAAGATGCATCGTTTTGGCTGATGCGGATTCCTAAATGTGCACGCGTCCCCTCATTGGGCACTTTAGCACCTAGTTGCTATGGTTTTGCTGGTCGCTGTTGGATGAATTGATGTCGTGCATCTCAGCAGAGTCGCTGAGCTGCGTTCTGCTTTCTGGCCAAGTGTTCAGAAGATGTTAGGCACATGATCGGGCAAGCATAACCCCATCTTCTGGAAGATCACTGGGGCAAGAGAACCTACAGCACGCAGCTACGTTCGGGGCTCCTGGCCTTACTACTAGGAGTAAGGACGCTACGAACGGGGCTCCTGGCATCGCTACGAACGGAGCGATCGGACGCTGGCATCTCTCCTTTCTTTGTTCGCCTCTCACAGCTCTCACGAGGCTCTGCGCGGCTGGGCGACGGGGAGGCGCTCGCGGAGACGAAGAGTGCCTGCGTTCGGGGCCAACAGCGGGAGAGAGAGGCCAACAGCGGGCTTGGGAGGTGAAGTAAGTGCAAACCGTCCTTTTCAACCAGATGTTCTTCCATTTGGGATGTGGTGTGACATGCATGGGGATGAATTCTTCACATGCGAGTCCTCAGCACACTTTCATGCAGACCATGGCGCCGTGTGCGGCACAAAAGAGCTTGCCTTGTGCATCCACCAGCGATCAGCGATCATCAGCGATCCGCGTCGTGGAAACCGAGACGGGTGGGGGGAATCTGAGCCCAGATCCGACCAAAGAGCCGGCTGCCTCCTCGGTTTTTTCCACTTCCGCTCTCGTGCCATACCAAAAGACCTGCCAAGAACCTGCGGAACCAGATCCACTTCCGGTGGAATTCCTTCGTGGGGTCCCTTCCTGCTCGGATTCCCCTCGAGGTCGTCCCTCCGACCTGGCGACCGAAACGCCGCCTGCAGAGTCACTGGGCGAGATACATCCGGTGCCTTTGGAAAACGGGAGTCCAAGCCGTCGGAAAAAGAAGGGAAAGAAATGGAAAGACAAAAACCAGATCTTCAAACAGGCTGAAATCCTCAGAAAAAGGAAAACAGGTTGAAAACCAGATCTTCAAAACCTGATTTTCCTTTTTTGGTCGGTTCTTCCTTTTTCCAATAGAAACCTTAGGATCACCTGGGAAGGCGGGGGCGCCTGCCTGTCCGACTGGAGGCGACCATGGCGACATGGGCTTTGAAGCTCAGCCACTGGAGCTTTTGGAGGAGGAAGAGGAGGCGAAAGATTTTTTGATTGCTAGGTTGGAGGCCATCCCTAGTAGGTTGGAGGCGAAGGGAGGAGAAAAAGCGCCCAGAGAGCGCTCCTTTCTGTTCAGTTTGAAGGGAGGAGTGGTCGGAGTGGTGTGTTTTTTTGGGTGTAGCTATTGTGCAGCTATGTGGTGCTCCTTTTTTGGCGGAGCTGAAGAATCTGGAGGATCTTTTGTGTGTGTGACTCTTGTGGGTGGTGTGTTTCGTTTTTGCACCCCAGACGTGCTGCATGTGCTATACAGGTGTTCCTGCATGTGCTATAAAGTTCTGGTTTGCTTTTGATCCTTTTTGATGTCAAACCCACTCGATGTCCTCCGTCGGGTTGCGTTGCCTGGCATCGCTCACAGCAGGCTGCCTGGTTGCTGGTGCCAGCACTACTGGCGGGCGTTGCAGCCACCGGGGCGGGGGCATCTCAGAACGATCCCGCTTTGGGACATGCATGGCCTTTTACTATTGGTTGCATAAGGGGATATCCCCAAGTGAACAACCAATAGGATCCAATGGTACCAAATCGGCCCCTTGATTTTTCTCAAAAGGATGTCGTTGCTTCGGGGTGGTGCTTCAGTTGTCTGACTAGGTCTCCATGTCTTTTCAGGGACACAGAAGGATTGCCCTGCCAGTTTGTCCTAGGATGTTTGCCTCAGGAAGAATCTTGAGGAATAGATTCCTGACACAAGAGGATGCCCACATTCTTCCCAGCAGGAGCACGTGGGTCCGTGAATGGAGCATGCAAATCGGCTTTTGGCTGAAAATTCTCTAGGAGGCCATCGCTAGTAGGTTGGAGGCCATCGCTACTAGTGGCAAATAGCTACGAACGTAGCTTCTTGTTGCTAGTAAGGCCAGGAGGGCCCCGTTCGCGTCCGATCGCTCCGTTCGGTTCGCGATGCCGCGTCACTCGCTGAGACGATGGGTGCCCTGATGTCCTGGTGCCGAAGCGCAGGTGTCGGGGGTGTCGGGCATGGCAAGGGCGTTGTTCAGTGTCTTTTTTGGAACCAAAAAAATAGCGCGGACAGGCTCAGCCACTTTGATAGAGAGGAACTCACCTAGCGAGGCCTGAAACAGAACTCACCTACGCCACACCACGTTTGGGTGAGAATCCACGTTTGGAGCTTGAGACCCGAGAGTCCCTGGCACTCTGCCTGGATATTGGCAGAATGGAAAGAAGGAAGTCTCATGCACCAAAAACATAGAGCCGAAACTGGACATTTCGGCGAACGAGCACCTGGTGCTCCTTTCTGAATCATCTTCTGCGGTTTCTTCGTTGCCCCCCCTGCATGCTGCTTCACACCAGAACCCCCGGAGCCGCTGGCGAGCCCCATCTCAGAGAAGCCGATCACCATCCAGGCGACGTCCGCGTTTGGGACGACAACGATCTGAAGACACGTTATAATATGAAGGGGGAGAGGTGGAGAGGGAGGCGGTGGAGGGAGCTTTCTTTGAGGGAGACCTCTAGGTTCTGGTCGCGTTCTTTTCTTTTTCTCAGAACGCCCTTACTTAATCAAGTAGGCGCCCACTTAAGTAATTAAGCAAGGGAGAAGTTCGCTTCTAGCTCGACGCAGGATAGCTCATGCTGATTTGGTTGGGATGGGATCTTGGAGTTTGTCGCTTCGTCGACTCGACGATTACGATGAAAAGTGAACCCAAAAAAGGAAGGGTCAAGCCTTTGTTGGGGAAGTTCTTGTGGATCAAGTTGTTTGAGACAGCAAGTTCTCAGCAAACGTCTTTGAGGGAAAGTGGAGACCGAGACTCAGTGAGCTGAGCTCACATCCTGCCCAACTCTTCAGGTGATCCCCGTTGCAGGGGCGCTCAGGACGACAAGCCAAAGAGATGCTCAGTCTAGGGGAAGAACCGTATCCAAGCTGCAAGCTGCAAGCTCCAAGCTGCTGCAAGCTTGTTTTCGCCATCACTTCACCAATCATTTCATGCTTTCAGAGGACGATGTGATGCGATACGACATGATACGACATGATACAACTTCTCTGGGGCGTCGCTCTTCATCCTTCTTCATCCTTCAGAAACCCCACGAGGCGTCGAAATCGGAT